TCTTAGGTTCGAATCCCGCTCGTGGCACTAGCTTTTTCATTTCGACCAAAACCTTACATAAAAAGATTAAGTAATTGAGAAAATTAAACTTGATTAAAAAAGCTCTAGTAGGAGCTATTGAAAATGATTACTATTTATCATAATATTAATAGACAAATACGCAAGGTGAAAAATATAATTATTTATTAATGTTGGCAATTTGACAAGGATTACTTTTGTATTTTGCACGACAGATAGTTAACATGCTGCGATTCTATGTATTAATCAGTAATTTTAGTTAGACATCCGTTTTAAAATGATGTTATCATATTTTTAGTGATTTTAGTTGTATGTACGTATGGTTTGAAAATTAGTTTTAGTAATGTTTAGTTAGAAGAATGTTAATATTTTCAAATGAGCCTAAGTTATTATATTTTCGGTGTGTATATATTATTTTATTGGGCCGATATTACATATTACGCATAAACACATAATCCAAAGATTTTCACGGTTCCCTCCTCCCCCGGAAGGATGTCAACTTTTCAAATTGAATTTATGTTGTTTGTTTTGTTAGTAATTTTAGTTGGAAATACGTTCTATTTTGCAAATGAGCCAATAATGTTATTATAGTTTTAGTAATTTTTACATGTTAGAATACATAATATATTGAATATAAAATTATGTTGTTACAATTGTTTTAATGATTATTAGGAAATCGTGAGATGCGGTCTGGTGTGATATAGATTTGAAAAAAACATTTTCTTTACCGTGTCAATGTTTCTATCTTTATTGAGGTCATCTTCAGGGCTCAGTGTTTGTTTTCTGCGTAATTGTGCCATTCTTGCTTGTCGAGTTGTGAGTGGCCTCAATAGTTTTAATAATTTTAGTGAGAATTACGTAATATTTTTTAAATTGCTGTGTTGTTTTGTACTATAATTTTAGTTATAAATGTTTAATATTTTGAAGGAAGCTATAAATCTACTATAATTGTACGAAATACGTAATATGTTGAAAATCATGAAAATCATTTAATTATTAGTTTTATTACATTTACAATAAATTTATAACAAATTTGTTACGTGTTGAATATTGGGTAAATTGGTAATTACTATACAGTTGTAGTAACTTCGGTAAAGCATGTAAATGCGTTGTGATCGCAACTATAAATAATTTATTTAGAAATCGTGAGTGCGGTCTGGTGTGATGTAGGTTTCAGAAAAACATTTTCTTTATCACGTTTCGGTCTTTATTGAGATCCTCTTCAGAGCCTGGGATTATGTAATTGTGCCATACACAGAAGACAAACACTTTGAGTGAGTAGAAAGACTTTGATTGAATATATAAAAAAATATATTTTGCATTGTATAAATTCACTTTTCCACATCCAAAATGTAATTGTTATATGTAAACAATGTTTGTAAATCCCAGGCCCTGAAGATGATCTCAATAAAGATCGGAACGTTGGCACGATAAAGGAAATGTTTTTCTGAAACCTACATCACACCAGACCGCATCTCACGATTTCTAAATAAATAACGATTAACGGTCACTAATCACCAACCACTATAAATAATATTACAGTTATAATAATCAATTTTCTATTGCTTTATTACAGTTGTATGGGATATGTGATATATTGATATTATCTCGATATACAGAATGTGTCAACTTGTAAAGTCCACCCATTTAATTCGGAAACGATTAACTTTAGCAAAAAATGGTCTTATACAAACCTGAAGTTAATTTTGGCTAGGAATCGCGTGGTCTTTACAGATTTAACATAACTTTTTCATCTAGCTGGGAAATGACACTAACTTTGGTATTTTAAATGAGAAGCCCATATTTTTATAGTATAATTCGATTCTAGAGGTTATTTTGTGCCACGTTTAGTGAAAGGAAAATTTTGATAGGCTCAACGGAAGAGGCGTGGGGGTATGCTTTTTTTTTAAAGCATAACCACGCTTTTTGTAACAGGATGGCCCACCCCCTTTATTTCGAAAACGATTGACTTTAGCAGAAAATATTCTTATACCTTAACTGATATACCTTAATATTATATATTACACCTTAGTAAACTTTAAGTTAATTTTGGCAAGAAATCACGTGGTGGTAAGAGATTTTTGCATAACTTTCTCATGTAGCTGGCTAGCATCCGTCCGGTATAACTCAGAAATGGTCGATTCGATCAAAATTTTCTTGCCAAAATTAACTTGGAGTTTGTATAAGACCGTTTTATGCTAATGCTAATTAATCGTTTTCGAAATCGACATGGAGGGCTATCTTGTAACAAGGAGCATGCTTTTTGTTACAAGATAGCCCTCCATGTCGATTTCGAAAACGATTAATTAGCATTAGCATAAAACGGTCTTATACAAACTCCAAGTTAATTTTGGCAAGAAAATTTTGATCGAATCGACCATTTCTGAGTTATACCGGACGGATGCTAGCCAGCTACATGAGAAAGTTATGCAAAAATCTCTTACCACCACGTGATTTCTTGCCAAAATTAACTTAAAGTTTACTAAGGTGTAATATATAATATTAAGGTATATCAGTTAAGGTATAAGAATATTTTCTGCTAAAGTCAATCGTTTTCGAAATAAAGGGGGTGGGCCATCCTGTTACAAAAAGCGTGGTTATGCTTTAAAAAAAAAGCATACCCCCACGCCTCTTCCGTTGAGCCTATCAAAATTTTCCTTTCACTAAACGTGGCACAAAATAACCTCTAGAATCGAATTATACTATAAAAATATGGGCTTCTCATTTAAAATACCAAAGTTAGTGTCATTTCCCAGCTAGATGAAAAAGTTATGTTAAATCTGTAAAGACCACGCGATTCCTAGCCAAAATTAACTTCAGGTTTGTATAAGACCATTTTTTGCTAAAGTTAATCGTTTCCGAATTAAATGGGTGGACTTTACAAGTTGACACATTCTGTATATCGAGATAATATCAATATATCACATATCCCATACAACTGTAATAAAGCAATAGAAAATTGATTATTATAACTGTAATATTATTTATAGTGGTTGGTGATTAGTGACCGTTAATCGTTATTTATTTAGAAATCGTGAGATGCGGTCTGGTGTGATGTAGGTTTCAGAAAAACATTTCCTTTATCGTGCCAACGTTTCGATCTTTATTGAGATCATCTTCAGGGCCTGGGATTTACAAACATTGTTTACATATAACAATTACATTTTGGATGTGGAAAAGTGAATTTATACAATGCAAAATATATTTTTTTATATATTCAATCAAAGTCTTTCTACTCACTCAAAGTGTTTGTCTTCTGTGTATGGCACAATTACATAATCCCAGGCTCTGAAGAGGATCTCAATAAAGACCGAAACGTGATAAAGAAAATGTTTTTCTGAAACCTACATCACACCAGACCGCACTCACGATTTCTAAATAAATTATTTATAGTTGCGATCACAACGCATTTACATGCTTTACCGAAGTTACTACAACTGTATAGTAATTACCAATTTACCCAATATTCAACACGTAACAAATTTGTTATAAATTTATTGTAAATGTAATAAAACTAATAATTAAATGATTTTCATGATTTTCAACATATTACGTATTTCGTACAATTATAGTAGATTTATAGCTTCCTTCAAAATATTAAACATTTATAACTAAAATTATAGTACAAAACAACACAGCAATTTAAAAAATATTACGTAATTCTCACTAAAATTATTAAAACTATTGAGGCCACTCACAACTCGACAAGCAAGAATGGCACAATTACGCAGAAAACAAACACTGAGCCCTGAAGATGACCTCAATAAAGATAGAAACATTGACACGGTAAAGAAAATGTTTTTTTCAAATCTATATCACACCAGACCGCATCTCACGATTTCCTAATAATCATTAAAACAATTGTAACAACATAATTTTATATTCAATATATTATGTATTCTAACATGTAAAAATTACTAAAACTATAATAACATTATTGGCTCATTTGCAAAATAGAACGTATTTCCAACTAAAATTACTAACAAAACAAACAACATAAATTCAATTTGAAAAGTTGACATCCTTCCGGGGGAGGAGGGAACCGTGAAAACCTTTGGATTATGTGTTTATGCGTAATATGTAATATCTTTTCGTAATGTAACAAAAAGCATGCTCCCCTCCGCGTCTTCCGTCGAGCATAACTCAGATATTGTCGATTCTATCAAAATTTTCCTTTCAGTAAAAGTGGCATAAAATAATCTCTAGAACGAATAAAAATATGGGATTCTCATTTAAATTAACAAAGTTAGAGTCATTTCCTAGCTAGATGAGAACGTTATGTTAAATCTGTTACGACCACGTATTTCCAGCCAAAAGTAACTTGGGATTTGTATAAGAATATTTTTTGTTAAATTTAATCGTTTCCGAATCAAATGGGTGGATTATAGAAGCTGATACACCTTGTAAATGTGACCAGTTTGAAACTGCTGCATAAAAAAACCCACGCTACATGATAAATTTTACACTTAAGAGTGACGTTTGCTTATTGTGACATTTTTCTAAACTTGGCTAGGTCACACGTTTCACCTTAAGATTAACTCTCAAATAGATAAAGGCAATTCTAAGTAAAAGAAAGAAACGCTGAGTGTGCCGTTGGCCAGCCTTGTGAAAAGAGTCGAGGAAGCACGGTTCATCGGACGTGAATCGGACTGGGTTTGGGTGGCGTCCCGTTTCCCACTGACCTTGCCGACTCGAGAGCCTAATCAAAAATATCGACCATGGAATGCTCTTAATTCCAGTTCTAGTAACTTTCCTTGATAGGAAGTTGACATTTTTAAACTAAAACTTTATTTTCTTGGGTTGAAACAGTCATCTAAACTATTCACAAATAATTTCTTCCTTTCGATTTTCCATTTGTACTAACAGTTTTTTATGAATGTTTTATCACTTTATTTAGCATATTAGTTTAAACATATATGATTTAAGTGACCAATATTCGTTCAAAGATACCTTAGGTGTCTTTACTTATAATATGCAAATACCTTGGAGGACGTATCTTTTGGTCCTCTTGCCGTTTATCCTGTCCAAATTGTCACCCACACCGCACCTGGGAAGCTTCATTGTTTCCAATGTCTCGTTGTCCAGTTTTCCTAAAATAAAATTAAAAATGTCAAATAAAATAAAATAATTGACCATAATAATTATTTCATTAAGGTCTTGATTGAGATGAAAAATTTAGTGTCACGGGCGGGATACGAACCCACAACCTTCTGCTCAATGCACCGCTGCTCAAACCACTATCGTGACGCTAACTGTTTCATCTCAATCTAGACCTTAGATAAAAAGAATAATTATTTGAAAGCAAATATTCACAAGGAGTTTTAACAAATTCTGATATTGTATAACATAATAACATCGAGGTGCGACTCCTTGGTTCCATTTAGAAAGCGTGCTGTGAGAATCGTGCTGAGCATAGCAGCGAGTGTCTGGGTCACCTGTTCCGATTCTTGGAGGATACAAAATTGTTTTATTGTGTATAGTTCTGTGTACATAGCGTGTGAATGTATATATTGGCGTGAATGTGTAGTGTATTAGGGATGATGGCAGAATATCGAGTACTCCACCACCCAATTTAGTAAATGGTATGTAAATAGGAAAAGAATGTATTTAAAAGTGAATGGGTTTGGATTTAGGAATTTATTGAGTTGGGGGCTGATATGTCCTAGCTGTTGATAGCCTCTGGAGCCGGATCGACTGGACGGATAAGAGGTCAGTCCGACACCCGGGGTGAATGATTCGCGAGGCTTGCCTGTAATTTATGGTAAATTAGAAAAGCTGGAAGTGCCGGTGGACTGGGAGAGGTGATAAGCTTAACTTTGCACATACATGCTCACATTTGAGCTTACATAAATCAGTAATAGCATGATTGAATAACCATTTATTACGTCATGGTACGTAATGGTATTACCATTGTTCGTGGATCGTTTCATCTTGCCCTATCCTCCATGTTTTAGGCTGCCAGAACCAAGAGGAATGCATACATATATTACAATTAGTCACTTATTCCTCTTTATAAAATTGAATTGTTTTTAAATTTTACATTTCGTATAGCAGATAGATTTTTTAGGCATCATCCCACCTCTAGTGAATAAGAGGAACGTTCTCGTGTATGAATAAAAAAAGTAAAGTAATTCCTGTCATACGGGAACGGCTTAACGACCAACCAGCTCTGGGTCAGGACGAAGGAACCACTTTGAGGTACATTTTACATACTAAATTTGATTAAAAAACCACGGCCTTTGCCGGGATTCGAACCAACGGGACACCCTGACCACTCGGCACTGTGATGCTAAGCTGGCCCTATTTTAAGGTAATAATGTTGAAAGGCCATTTTCTGATGGCAGTGGTAGCTGGACACCAACCAGGAAGTAGGCGGGTGTCAGCTCAAGGATAATCACCGAGACATGACATGAGTGATAGACCAAGTTCAAATGTGGTACAATTTGGCTAATTAATGCCAATTTTTAATCTTAACTCTTTAAAGCTCACACGATATTTTGCAAACTCCACTGCTTTTTCACATGAACAGTCGATTTTTTAAAATTCTTATTTTTTTAGTTAGTCGCATTGTATGTTTATTATATATCGTGTGTTTATATTGTCATGAATGTGCGAAAAGCTGAGATCCTGCACGATTAAAATTCTTCAAAAGTTTCGAATTAAGCAAAGCGTATATTCTATATGCTGAATGTTATTCCAACTGAATTAACGCCCGGGAATTTTATTTGAATATTATATATCAGAACGACTGTCATTACTCCCTAATGTCAGACCAGTGATTTTAAATGTTTCGATTTCCTTATGCGTTTTGTGGCCATTTTGTAAATGAGATAAATGCGCAGTTGTGCGGTTCAGATAGTTAAAAATAGCATTGCAGATTGATTCTTCTGTTTTAAAAGATATCACGTATTCGGGCTTGGTACATCCAGATGTGGACGGTGGACCAAAATAATCTATCATCAAACAAGAAAATACATTTTTTCCTTTGGAGAAAAAGTATTGAAAAAAAGCCAAAATATTCTCGTCAAGACATTATATCTATCTAAGTACATGGTGTCCTTTTTCAATGGCCCAGCTGAATTTTTCTTGAACAGAAAAAGTTATTAACAATAATTTCAGTATGGGTATGCTTTAGAAACTTAAACAATTTCTACCCAGTCCTTATTACTTTATCCTGAAATCTTATATAACCGTCCACTGCTTCTGAGTTAAGGTACAGGAAGGAGTTGTCGGAAGTCAAGATTACAAGCCGGCATCCGGGAAGGGAGCAGTCTTGATCCCATCCTTTATATCATTTACGCTGCTGACCTGTACACCCTAATTCCAACACCACCTACGCGGTCGATACCGCAATTTTGTCCTCTAACTGGAATCCTATCCAAGCTACGTCCCACAAACAAAAACACCTTGAAATTATCGTAGACTCGTGCGAAAATTAGAGAACAAATAAATTCACTATTTTTCGTGGTCCGCTTGACCAATTTAAAACATTCAATTAATTAAGGATTTAAGTTGAGATAAAAAAGTCAGTGTCACGAGCGGGATTCGAAAAATGGCAAAAAGGAGGGAAAATTCAAAAAGGTGTGGTTGAGATGGGAAGTTAGTGCCCGAGGGGATCGATGTCACGATACTCAAGTGGTAGAGTAGCGTCGTATCAAACCGAAGGTCGTGCGTTCGAATCCCGCTCGTGACACTGACTTTTTTATCTCAACTTAAAATCTTAATTAATTGAGTAGAGAACAAGATTCAATAAAGAAAATGTACTCAGTGTTCACATTGCCCTCCACTGTATATCAACAAAATGAAATACTGAACTGAAGTATTCAACTCAAATACTTTGGACTATACCTAGATAGCAACTGACGTGGAATCCCCGCATATGATTTAAGAGACAGCAATTCAACAGACATCGGCCAACTACGAGGACCGAAATCTGTCTTGTCAAAACTAAACTAATCTTATACAAGACTTTACTGAGACCACCTTTGGATATACGGATGGAACTGTTGTTCTAGCAAATCATCCAATATCCATGGCAACCAATCCTTCCAATCAAAAGTCCTCAGACGAATCGCCCAAGCTCCTTACTACCTCACTAACCTGACTATCCACAACGACCTCAACATTCCTTTTGTCAACGAATGATACCATCATCACCACCTACGCGGACGATACCGCGATTTTGTCCAATAACTGGAATCCTATCCATCTTAGAGATGCTCAAGACTTAGTCGATGATGCCCACAAGACCTCGCCCCTTAATCTCTCATACTCATTGCCCAGCATTGGTTCTCATGGCATGTGTCCTCCGAGTGCAGTGCCGGCATTAGGGTTTGCACTGTGACCATGTGAAAAAAAAGTTTTATGATATCATTTGTAATATGTACGAAATAGGATATAAATAAAATCTTTTTAAAAAATCGTATTCTGGCCGATTATTTTTAACCTGCACTCCGGACTCAAGTCTATATTGCATTTTTTTACAATCATACAATTACATCATACATTTTTTTAAATAAGCATTGTCATTCTTATTAATAATGTAGTTTTCGCGTATTCAATTATTATCATTACTGTGCAGTTTATTCTTGCACGTGTTGATAGTTTAGCATACAATGGCAGATATGAAACAACGCAATATTACGATTTCGGTGTTACTTAGTATCCTTATTTAAAAAATGAAACATCCGAGCCAAGAAAATCTGTTTATACTGACTTCATTATTTTGGTAATTTCATTTCGAATATTTACCCAATTTAGGTTTATATTAAGTAAAGCAATGAAGACACATCTCGTCTTTTACAAAGTTTTTTTAAACAAGAGATTTGAAGAGTGGAGATTTTGAAGATCCCCAGATTTGGCTGCTTCCCATTGGAAAAGGTCGGAAGAGAGAGAGAAAAAAAAATCAACTTCCTTATTGCAAACCGAGACCGTCCTTCAAAAGCTGAAACGTGCTTGCAACAATTTCCTTCCCGACATACTAATCGATGGCGGACATCATACTTTTCAGTCCAATCGTTTTTCAACCTGGGCCCTCGCATGAAGAATGAACAAACGCCCGAGGAGCAAAGACCTCTGGCATTCGTCTTTGTTTTTTTCCCCTTTCGGACACGGAAATTTGAATAATTACCTGTGATCTCCAGGCCGGCGAACGACTGGAACTTCATCACCGCTTGCACGTAGGTGTCTTCGTCTATTATGCTTTCCGAGTTCGGGCTGTTGACGCCTCGAGGCAGGTAACCGTATAGAGATAAATAACTCTGCAATTGAACAACAAAAATTAAGATCATATTTGTCCTTTTTTTTTACAATTAATAAATGGTGTTCTTACAAACTAATCTGTTAGATTGCTAAATAATATGACAAATCTTAAGTTAAAGCTGTGTTGTCTAAATTGTTTTAATTACTAAATACAATAATTCTACTTTTCATTATCAATTATAGTGCTATTTAGAAACAAATGTTTTTTTCCCCAAACCAAAATGTTATATGTTAAGTGCTACCACAATTTAGGTACCCAATCCAACATCCTCACTTCCAAAAGTATTTATTCGACTATAAAATTGAACCTTTTCTATCGAGTGCGTTACGCAACTTGGGCTTTCCGTTTACCATTTTGATTTGGCGCTAACTATCAACGTTTATGGGAAAAAATGGGTTCGGCTAAGATCAAATGTTTGCCAGGTATTAGATACTGGAGGAGATACCAAGTCCCACCCACCTATTATACGATAAGGACATTAGTCAACTGTTTTCTCAACATTAACACCCTTCGAGGACAGTGAGATTATGCATATTCAAAATCCCCCCTCATAAAAAAGAAAATCTCGCAATATCCACCCCCATCCAATGCAGTTTTCATGCAATTAAGCACGCACGCGATTGGTATGGATTACCACGAAACAATTTGCCCATCACGACGTCAAATTGCACCTTCAGACAACGTTTTAATAAAACACTAATTATAAATTAATAGTTTTATTGCTGAATATTTTTTTCGAAGTAAATTAAAAAAATAAAAATAATACTGATCATATTTAATAAGTAGGTTCAGAAAGGATAATGGGTATTATCGGCCGATCTATTACAAAAAATTGAATCATCGTTTTTATTGACGATGATCTATTATGTACCTCAACAATCTTGCAAAAAACATGAACAATATTTCTGAACAGAAACGGCTTAACAAACGCCATCCTCAAGGTTGGGTTTTATATCGTCGGAAGGTCTCGATCTCTTAATTATTACCAAGGATAAAAACAAATCGAATTATAATCCTAAGAAAGCTTTTGCATAGCTTGATTTAAAAGGGCGATTTGTCTATTTATAAAATTTAAGAAACTATTTAAATCTCAATGTTAGTTCTAGGAAGAAAAAGGAAACCTTCATTTGATGGCAAAGCTGTTGGACACTCATCAGCAGTTATCGTTTTTTGGGTGTTTATTAATTTGCATAAGAACAAAGCAATTCATATAAAATAGCCAATCCATTTTCTATTAATTAGATCGAGGAAACAGACCACAGTTGTTTTCCCTTAGTCATTTCTTCATGGAATATGATTCAGATAGGTGACACATTACTTATTTGAAAATTTCTTCCATTGGAAAATATTCTGGAGGAAGTCTGGCTTGATAAACAGTGAAACTTCCGTTAACGGACACCTCCTTTAACGGGCAAATTCTGATTCCCCGGCGTCTTTCCCTTTATTTTCTTCACATAAAAATCTTCTACTCCCAGAAACGGATAGCTTTTTAGATTAAAATCTGACTATAAATCTCTCCCAAAAGCGGACAGCAGTCTCCCGAAAATGTCCGACGTTTCCTCTATTTGTTTTGACGCGAGTTCCAAATTTTGATTATGCCACTTTGCAACCATGTTTATGTATGTACATCCTCAGTTTGAATTCGGATTTGGACGTGATAATGCCTAATATCACCTTTGATTGCATTTTGATTGGATTTATATAATTGCAGTGAGAGAACGTGAAAAATGAAGTATGCAAGACTTGGATGTCAAGTATTCCATGAGAAAGGCCCATTTATATCATTGACGCTGAAAGACCCAACTTAACAAAGAAAATGCAGTCGAGCATGAAATAAAAAACCTAATCAAAAATTCACTTTTAAAACAAATTTTGGCATATCTTCGTAAATTTGAAGCAACTTTTTTAAAATAAATTTTCTTGTTTTATAAATCAACTTTTGCAAGTAAATATGAATTTATTGTTTATTAATTTATTATTATCATTGTCTTTTGTTGTTGCCCATCTTGTAATAGAAAACATATTTTTCACTGTTCTCCCAATTGCGGAAACCTCTGTATAGAGGACAATGTGTGGTGATTATTATATATTTAAAAAAATATATTTTGCATTGTATAAATTCACTTTTTTCCACATCCTATTTATTAAATGTAAACAATGTTTGTAAATCCCAGGCCCTGAAGATGATCTCAATACAGATCGAAACGTTGGCACGTTGTTGTGTCTGTTTTAGAATTTACGGTATAACATTTTTGTACATGCCATTGATCAAGATTGAACTTTAATTTGATTTATTAGTTAACTTTTAGTTGATCCATTGCTTAGTTGAAAAATTCGAAAACTTCTAATTTGTACTTTCTTAAGTACTTCAAAATTGTAATTGACGTGTAATACATAATATAATCATATTTTATTACCTTGAATAATTCCTTGACATTAAAAAAATCGTTTTTATTTTATAGAATTTTCTTTTGATCTAGAAAGATAAATTTTTGTGAAAATTTAAAAATTTTACGTTATTCAAATAAATTTGAAAATTAATAGTTTTTTTTTTCATTAAATGGTGAGTTAACAAGCCATGATTAGTCAATGTTCGGACAAGTTCAGTCAAAAATGACGGATTAGTTGGCAACTGGTTTATGATTGGAACAAACTTGTCCCGTCTGATTTTTATTTTTGATAAAATGAATACGAAGTGATATGTGTTCGGTTTTATGTGTTACATGATTTTTTTAGAGAATTTGTACCCACTCCCAACGATAAAACCCAATACACAAAGAAAAGATAAGTTCCTAGATTGGTGAATTATTTTCTTATATACGAACATATTTTAACATCTTGCTGTGGTTAAGAATAAATAAGAAAAGGGGAAAATGGACTCGTTCGGAATGAGAAATAGTTTAACAAGAGAATTGAACAAGAAAACAAACAAAGGCTTCTCTATTTTATTTATTTATTTTTTGTATAAAGAAAAATATTTTTTTTTCTTCAAATAAAACAAGTTAGAAATATTAATAACCATTCTCTCTTTGCGTTCTTGAACTTGGGAAGGAACCTTCGATGAGAGGCGAAAAACGAGGCGAAGAAAATCGATTTACAAAACACGTTTTTCGCCTCCTAAAACGGTCACGGGTTCATCCAACAATTTTCACTGTATGTAAGATTATTTTTTTAAAATATTGGATTCCTTTTTAGATTTTTTTCAGACTGTTTAGAATGATCAAAAATTTGTCGCTGATTTATTCTACAACCGCACGACTCAGAGTCGATTCTATCTATCAAACTGAAATAAGCCCACTTGATTCGAAGGATTTTAATGAGGATTCATCCTCACGGTTCAAGGCGAATTCGGATTGCAGTGTTTAACTCGAAATTAAACCTTATGTGCACGCGAGTTCCCAGGTTCCTCTGCGGGATCCACATCGACCCGAGCCATTTCCCCAAACTATGCACTATAACAAATCTTAACCGTTTTAGAAAGAAAAATGACTTTTCTCACTATCATAAACATACACAAGGTACGATTATTATGATCATCGATACGATTATTATCGTGGTACGATTGTTGATATTATTATCGTCAAACGATTTTCAAATTTTCCAATACAAAAAATACCCTTTATGTAAAGTATTGGTTGAAAAGAAAAATTAGTGTCACGAGCGGGATTCGAACCCACGACCTTCGGCTAAATACGCGGCTGCTCTACCACTTGAGCTATCCGGACTTCGATCCACTCGGACACCAACTCCCCATCTCAACCTACCTTTCGAATTTTCTTTTCATTTCAACCAATACCTTACATAAAGATTAATTAATTGAAAGAAGTTATTTGCTCAATCGGACCACGAAATCTAATGAATTTAATAAGTAAAATGAAGTATATTTTCACGAAAGCTCTCCGTGGCCATTTCATTTGTCGACGAGAATCGAATCCTAATTACACGGCATTTGAAAAATGGCAAAAAGGAGGGAAAATTCGAGAGATAGGTTGAAGTGGGAAATTGGTGTCCAAGTGGTCGAAGTCCCGATAGCTCAAATGGTAGAGCAGTAGCGTATTTAGCCGAAGGTCATGGGTTCGAATCCCGCTCGTGACACTAACGTTTTCATTTCAACCAATACCTTACATAAATGATTATTCGGAAATCGTGAGATGCGGTCTGGTGTGACGTACGTTTCAGAAAAACATTTTCCTTATCGTGCCAACGTTTCAATCTTTATTGAGATCATCTTCAGGGCTCAAAGTGATTGTTTTCTGCGTAATTGTGCCATTCTTGTGTGTCGTGTTGAGAGTGCACTTTGAGCCCTGAAGATGATCTCAATAAAGATTGAAACGTTGGCAAGGTAAAGAAAATGTTTTTCTGAAACCTACGTCACACCAGAGCGCATCTCACGATTTCCGAATAATCATTTACTAACGGTCACTAATCACCACACACCTTACATAAAGATGAATTAACTGAAAGAAGTTATTTGGTTAATCGGACCACAAAATATAATGGACAAAAAATACCATTAACCCTTAAATTCGAGATCAGCTTTGTGCTTTCAGTTTGTCAGATTAAGAATTTTTATACCGAAACAGGCGGATTATAGCAGGTTTATTGTAACTTTATCAGAATTTCCATTGAAGGTTAAACCAACCATTTCAATCTGGGATAATGGGAAAATAATTTCCCTTCGAGTTGCATCCGCCTATTCTATCGTCTGTCACTAGTGAATAAATGTAAAAAAGTAAAAAGTTTTTCGTTCCTCCACGCTTGACTAATCAAGCAATGTACCATATAATTCATACATGTGTCTTTTTTGTGTGTGTGTGTGTGTGTGTGTGTGTGTGTGTGTGTGTGTGTTTTGTGGTTTAGAAGTGAAGAGCTCGGCAGGATCGTTACTGATGAAACCAAATATGTTTAAGTTAATAAAATTCTTTACGCTTTTATTTTTGTTTACAAAAAGATTAAACTGAAATCAATATAGCTTTAGAAATCAATTAGATTCTTACT